GTAAGTGTCATTGTTACCTCACTCTGACCACACCACATCAATTTCGTAACTGCGCCACCTATTGGTCGAAAGTACGGTGGCCGAGAGAGCTCAACGCGATGCAACTGAAGCAAACACATGCAAATAGAAAAAAAAACGCATGCAAATAGAAAAAAAAACATCATCATCAGTTTCACAACACACGTGTGCTCCAAATACAGAAATGCGCTGCAAAAGTTCACAACACAACCAAATACAGAAACGCGCTGCAAATAACAGACCACAACGTAAATGTTTCCAGGGGAACCAAATAAGTGACGAACCCGGCTGGGACGTGCTTATTGTGAGCCATACTCCATACATACAGAGCCTATGCCATACTCCCTTCGAAGGGCAGACGGCAGAGCCCTTAAAGTGGGACTTTGGAGTGAGCAGGGCTCTGGCGTGCTGTTATGTAGCCGTGTGGAACGTACTTGATGAAGGAGCAGCGAAAGACAATGTAATTCCTCATCATTTTCACCTGGGATGTTCCCATGACAACGCAGCACGGCGTCCATCAGCTGAAGAGCTGTTCTTACCACAGAAATATAATGCTGTCAACATAACGGTTGCAAATACATTTTTATTTTTACTTTACAAAAAAGCTTTTAAAATATGTGTGTCTCAACTTTAAAACTTTGGACCCTACATTACCTAACATTGCTTAAGAAACTTTTCTTTATGAAAATTTAAACATAACATGAAACAATTTGTACAGTGTAACTGATGAAAGATAAATATCTTCTCTATCTTTTTTATTTATTTATTTTAGTTTTCAGCTCATTGTTGTTTTCTCATTTGTATTCTGATGACATTGAACATATTGTTAATACATTTTGTATATTGTATACAAGGTGTATGTCATAAAAATATAATCTCTGTATGTTTTGCAAAAATAAATAAATACATAAAGTAGAATTTTAAGCTGTAAGCACCAGCACGTCCCAGCCGGGTTCGTCACTTATTTGGTTCCCCTGGAAACATTTCCGTTGTGGTCTGTGTTATTTGCAGCGCGTTTCTGTATTTGGGTCATATTGTGAGTATTTGGAGTTCACGTGTGTTGTGAAACTGATGAAGATTTGCGGTTGTTTTTTCTATTTGCATGCGTTTTTTTTCTATTTGCATGCATTTTTTTCTATTTGCATGCAGGTTTTTTTTGTTTGCATGCTTGCGTTTTCTTCTATTTGCATGCGTTTTCTTCAGTTGCAACGCGTTGAGCTTTCTCGGCCACCATACGAAAGTGATAATCCATTAAATCATACTTTTAGTTAATGTATATGATTTTTCAGCCATTTTGCCAAAATTATCTTAAAATGTCTTTAATTGCTCTTTGCTGCAGTAGATCTGCCACTCCCACCCATGAGGCCATCTGTTGCCGCTTCTTGCGCTTGGCCCCGGTAATGGCTGCTTGCAGCTATATTTTTTTGTTTGTTATTGATGTTCTAATCTAGGCTACTTGTCCGGTCGGGCAAGTAAAATTCTGTCCCTTCAAAAAATCCACTTGTCCCAGACAAGCGGACAAGCGTTAATGTCGAGTCCTGCATTATCATTATCAATCACTGTTTATGTAATAAAATCAGAATCATTCTCACGATTCGATGCTTCACTGGTTATTTGACGGGCATTGGGTCCGTCAGACTGGAGAAATTTTAGCGGTAATGTGACCAGAAATATTTAAGACCCATCGAATCTGAATTTAAGACATTTTAATACTTTAAGGCCTTTTATTAGGAAAACTTTATTTAGGACTTTTTAAGACTTTTTAAGGACCCGCGGCCACCATGAGACATGCTCAAATCTGCTGAAGTGCTATTGCCACTGGTGTCAAACGGACTGATCTGAGTATTTCGGAATTTTGATCTACTGGGATTTTCAGACACAACCATCTCTAGGGTTTATAGAGATAGTCTGATAAAGAGAAAAGCTTTTTTGCCTAGTTTCAAGCCTTGTTGAAGTCAGAGGTCAGAGAAAGAATGGCCAGAATGGTTGAACTGAGAGAAAGGCAACAGTAACTCAAATAAGCACTCGTACAACCAAGGAGTCTCAATTTCTGCTGCAACATTCAGATGGTCAGGTCAGAATTTGGCGTAAACTACATGGAAGCATGAATCCATCATGCCTTTTATCAGCGGGTCAGGCTGCTGGTGGTGTAATGGTGTGTTGTATATTTTCCTGGCACACCTTGGGCCTCATGTATCAACACTGCGTACACACAAAAACACTGCATACGTCAACTTTGACGTTCACGGCCAGATGTACTAACAGTGAAATTAACGTAAGAATGTGCGTTCCTCCAAGTAAACTTCATGTCTTGCGTACGTACATATGTCGTGATTTTTGTCCGTTGGCGACTCATAGTCAATGGCGCCACCAGGGGGTGGCCAGGGGTGGCCACTCCTGGCCACCCCACTGGCCACCCCACTGGCCACCCCAATGGCCAGAATAAATTTTAGTAGCATCAGTTATGCATTTCATAAATAAGTCAAAAATATTCTTTAGTAAAAGAAGACGGGGCATTATGTGTCGTGACGTGCTTTTTAAGTGCCAATGGTTAACAGTATAGCTACTGTTACAGCAGCTTTTTGATGCGTCTTTGCCACGTTTTGACAAGCAGGGATGCAAACAGCGCGCTTTTCGGCGCCTCTCACTTTTTTCACGTCAGTTTGGGTGACAAAGTCATCTGAAGTCATTCCATAGCTTAATGTGAGGGACAGAAGTCTATTTACACCATTTAAGTATACGGAAACTCGTTTTCCCTCCTCTGCGGCTGTCAATCATTCTCCATTCATATTCAAACAGCGCGCGCGCCTCTTGGATGCACGGTAAAACTCTCTCCAATATGATATATTCACATTATAATGCACGATCTGTAGATAAAAGGCTGTATATTTGCATAAAATTACTTTATTTTGTTGGAGTTTGTTGTTGTTTTTAAACAACTCACTACCGTGTGCTTGCTAGATCATCACACACATCACAAGGACTATGAATCGGCATCAAACGCGCAATAACTGGAATATAAAACTGAAACAAAGGAACAAATCGCACTAGGATTTGTGCGCTCGACATTTCTTCGCTTTGTGACGTGAACTTTTAAATACGCACTTATGCAGCGCAGCGCTGCACACAGAGTCGCCATGTTGCTTTGAGCACATCATTCTGCACCCGCGATGCGCATACACACTGTGCGCTCTGTTTTTCATGTTATCATGGGTTTGCGCACTGAAATATTATTAAAAGCCAATATATTTTGTTATACCTAGCCTGCTCATTACATTTAAAATAAGCATAGTTTAATTGTATATTATTTCTTTGTAGTGTAGGCTATATATGCACTTCTGAATTCTTGATATTAATATATAAATATAAAATTGTGAAATGTATGATTGCCTGATTGAATTTTATAAGAGAACTAATAGTAATTTGTTTTTATTAACATATTTAGATTTGATAAAATGACTGTGCAGATTTTTTCAAGAATTACTTTTTGCTGCTGATTTATACACTCATTAAGTTTATTAAAAATTCATAGTACATTTATGTAATATTTAAAGGTGTTAACTGTAATCTTACACTGCAAAATAATAACTTAAAAAGAATTAAATTCATCACAATTATGTAAGTATCTGGAAATTTGCTGCGGGGCGAGGGCCCTTATATATATCATATATATATATATAATATATATCATTATATATAATATAATATATATTAGTAGGGCCCTACTAATATCATTAGTAAGCTAACATTAAATATAACACAATAAACCAAAGTATAGCAGTAGGAGTTTCCTTAAGTCTTTCTGATAGTTTTCTACAGGCCGGTTTACTACAAAAGTAGAATAAAATTCTGAAATTATGGTTTATAGTTTTGGTGTGCCACCCCAAGATTTTAAGTGGCCCAATCTGGCCACCCCTATGAAAAATTTCTGGAGGCGCCACTGCTCATAGAGGCAATAAAGTGAAGTGGCAAACATTACACTACGAATTGTTCTATCGCACCTCCAGCTGTCGACATTGCTTATAATTTGTAATTGATAAATTATTTGACATATTTTTGTCACACGAGTCTTATTAAAATATTCTATTATGCAATTAAGTAAGAACATATATAAAGCATGTGCAAATTGATACAACCCGTCTAGCAATGTCAGCGTTGGCTTAACTAGGAATAAAAAATAAACTTCATTAAAGTACAGTAACACCAAGTAACTTTTCCTCTGCGGTCGCCCTACTGGTTGGAAGCGGAGTTGTCCATTAGCGCTGTCGTAATTAATTTAGCCTACCGCAGCCTACTGTCGCACACGCATGCGCACGCTCGCTGTTGATCCAGCACCGGCTTGGGAATCAACAATGGCCACAGACAAGGTAGAGTATGTTGCATGATTTTATGAAAGACATCACAAACTAAGAAAAACGAAATAATGACTAGTCCAACAGCATGACGGCCAAGTAGGGCTGGGCGATTTCCCCCCCAAAAAAAATCTGCGATTTTTTTATAAAAAACTCGATTTACGATTTTCGATTCGATTTTTTTCCCCCCTTCCATTTAAAACAAAATAACTGCAAACTGTAAATATATTTTGAAAATATATATTTATTGTATTTAATTAGTGCATCAACATAAACAAAATTGCACTGTCACTGTGCAACAAAGATTGTGCAAGATCCAAATTATTTGTAGTGTATTTGGATTGAGCTAATAAAACAACAAAAAATAATAATGATTTATTGTATTTAATTAAAGTGCATCAACATGAACAAAATTGCACTGTCACTGTTCAGTGTGCAACAAAGATTGTGCAACATCCAAATTATTTGTAATGTATTTGGATTGAGCTAATAAAACAACAAAAAATCATGAGGTAACTCTTAATGGAATTGAACATGTACAGTTGAAAAGTAACACCACTCTCGACTCTCCATAAAAAATGCATTTTAAACATGCATTTTAAACAACATAAAATGCATTTTAATTGCATTTTAAACATTCTTTGCGAGGAAAATTAGCCTATCAACTACAGCAGGCTTGAGGCAAGCTCGGTTACAGGTGACAATACCCCCACCCACACTAAAGACCCTCTCCGATGGGGCGCTAGTTGCTGGAATGGCCAGGTATTTTTTTGCCAGATGACTGAGTCTTGTGAAGTTGGGCTGATGCTGCTTCCACCACTCAAGTGGGTTAGTGTCAGGATCCACCTCAGGACCCAGTAAGTAGGAGGTGAGCTCTGCTTCAATTTTCTCCTTTGTTGACTGGTGGGACAGTGATGCAGCAGGTGCTGCTTTCTTGAAGAAGGCAGCTAAAGTTTTCTTCTTAGGTGGGCTCTCTTCTTGACATATTTGTACAGTAGGACCTTCTTCCTCTGAGCAGAGGGCAGAAAGCTCAGTGACCGCTCTTTTCTTAACAATGTCCAACTTGTCCAGGGTAATGTAGGTGGTACGGAACCGTGGATCCATTAGAGAAGCCATGTCCAGGAGCTCGTCATTCTCAGGGTCACTGTATTTCTGTTCAAGGTAGCACATAATGTTTCTTTTTATTGTAGCGGTGAGATCTACATCTTTCTCTTCTCGCTGAAGGAGACTTGTTTTGAACAGATGCAGCACAGGTTTAATGTATGAAACGCTTACATAAGATTCTCCGGACAACGCGTCAGTAAAGTCCTGAAGGGGTTTGATCGCTTTATTTGTGGCATCTAAAACCTCCAGATCTTGCCATGTAGGAACAAGATGGCGGGTCTTTTTATCAGCACCCAGAACACGGACGATGGCTCTCTCTTGTTCGAGAAGACGATCAATCATTTTTTGGCGCGAACCCCATCTTGTCAGTGACTCGGTTACCAGTTGATGAGGAGGAAGACCCAGCTCTGCCTGAACCTCTGCCATGTCCCGTCTTTTTTTCCAACTGTATGAAAAAGCAGAAACTGCCTTTTTACACACTCCAATGGCACGGTCAATCCGTTCATCTTTCACACCATTCACTATAATAAAAAAAGAACAAAAAAACAAAAACAATATTTAGTTTTAGTAAGTGTACATTTTTTAAACATTCCCTACACACACAGCTAAGGTACAAAATACAAATTATTTTTATCTTTATTTTAGAAATGTATTTTTCCCATATTTATTGTAACACCATACTTATACCATATAGTATTAAATGGTAATAGATAAATCAGTGTAGTACTAGTAGTATTGACCAAAAAACTACCTTTTAAAATAGTCAGGGGAAATGCATATAACAATGTTGAGTTGAAAAAATATAAACTTATTTTCACACAAACTTACCGACAGCATTGTGCAGTCGATGTCCAAAGCACTTGAGGTTTGGCCAATTATTGTCCTTCATAGCCCTGATTACATTGGAGCCACTGTCGGTCGTCATACAGGAAAGGCGCTCCTCTGAAAGGCCCCAGGAGTTCAGAGCATCCTTTAACTCTTGTGCAATAGTTTGGCCCGTATGGTCCTGAGGGAAATATGACGTTTGGAGACAGACGCTTCACATCTCCCAGCTCTCGCTGACATAATGAACCGTAAGACACATATAAGGCTGCATGGTTCGGCTCGACCACAGGTCAGTAGTGGCAGCGTAAAAGTCAATTCCCTTCAACTCGCTTATTATCTTTTGCCGAGTGTTGTTATACAGCTGAGGAAGAGCAACATCAGAGAAATACTTGCGGCTGGGTACTGTATATCGAGCGTCCAAAACTTTCAGCAAGTTGTTAAACCCTCTCTTCTCAACAGAGTAAACTGGCAGCATATCCGTAGCTATGTAGAGGGTAATTGCCTCCGTTATGGCTTTCCACCTTGCCCCGCTCTTCTCATACGGTACACTGCTTGAAAAGCTTTGTTGAAGAGTTGTTTGCTTTGCTAACGGGGTGCTAGCGCTAACGCCACTAGAGTCGTTTTCTGATCGAAGGCGGCGACACTTCTCCCACTCAGCCGCATGTTTTCGCTTTAAATGCTGAAACAGATTTGTCGTACTGCTACCAGCAACAACAACAGCCTTTAGACAAAGTTTGCATCGAGGTATTTTCTGTTCCTCATCAGATTCTGTAAATCCATACCAACTCCACACTACTGACGTCGATGAGCATTTCTTCGGAAGGAGCTGCTCTCTTTCTGCCATGTTGTTGTTTGTATATGAATACGCTGCCGTCGGGGGAGTGGCAGAGGGTTGCGCCGTAGGGAGCGTGCTACGGAAACTCTGAAGGAAGATTTGGCGAATGCAAAATGTATATGCTATACTGATGAGGGAGAGAAAAAAAATCTAAAAAATCGAATTTTTGAAAATGTGAATCGATTTGACCTACCAACTCGATTTTTATTTCAAATCGATTTTTTTCCCAGCCCTACGGCCAAGTCAGCATCGGTCGGGCACCCCTCCTCCTTAAGCTCACGCCAGCGAGTAAACACTGGCCCAATATTGATCCTTGTCCGGCCTCTTGCTTTATCACTCAGCCTTTTCCTCTTCCGAGTCTCCTCCAACAAAACCTCTGTCTTCTTTTTTTTTTTTACCGCTTCGGCCATGACAAAAGCAAACGGAAAACAAACGCTGGTTGGTCACTCACGTCCGAATTTGAGGAAGTGGTGGGGGAAGTGATGTATGCCGTAAAGCAGTCGAATTTTGTAGTTCTTTTTGTGCACGGGTTCCTACCCGAAACCCGAAGTTACATAGTGCCAGTAAAAGCGATACAGACCACGTCAGGCTATGGCAGACGTGTCATTTAACTTATTTTAAGTCGATGTACCATCACAAGGGTCTTGGAAATATATTATGAAGGTTGGAAAACTACATAGTGTTACTTTAATTCGGTCAGTAAAGATAAAAAAGAAAGTAATATTTTTATTCAGCAAGGACACATTGAATTTGTTTAAAAGTGAGAGTAAATGCATTTATAATGTTACAAAAGATTATAAGATTTCTATATCTGTTTGATTTAAGTTTTTATTCATCAAAGAATCCTGAAAATACTATATCACGGTTTCCACGAAAATATGAAGCAGAAGCACAGCTGTTTTCAACACTGATAATACTCAAAAATGTTTCTTGATCATCAAATCATTTCTGAAGGATCATGTGACACTGAAGACTGGAGAAATGATGCTGAAAATTCAGCTTTGATCACAGGAATAAATTACACTTTCACACAGAAGACATTTTCAGTGAAATTTCGTTTCTTGCTTGCTTTAGCCATGTTCTTGCAGGTTTCTTTTGCCAAATTGGACTAATTACCATATTTAAATTAATTTAATTGTGGGAGGAGACTGGGTGGGGCGTTGTGCATGTGCGCTCAATTTTACGTTAATTCGTATGATGACTTCCAGCACGATAACATGTCATGCAAAAAAAAAACACACAAAAAAACCTCAAAATGGTTTCTTGAACATGACAATGAATTCACTATACTCAAATAGCATCCACAGTCCCCAGATCTTAAAGGGATAGTTCGGCCAAAAATGATATTTAACACATGCATTACTCACCCTCAAGCCGTTCGAGATGCATATGTCAATCTTGTTTCAGACGAACACATTTTCAGTTATTTTAGAAAATGTCTTAGACCCTTCAGTGGATATAATGTGAAGCAATGGGGTCCACCTCCTTCAAGTCCCAAAATGTGCATACATCCTTCACAAAAGTAATCCATCCGGCTCCAGGGGGATAAACGAAGGCCTTCTGAGGGTAATCCGTGCGGTTTTGTCGTAAAAATATACATATTTAAAACTTTATAAATGAAAATATCTGACTTCCGGCAACGATCGACGCGCGTTCACGGGTGATGGAAGTCGGCGTACGAGGTAGGACGTAGCGTAGGAACCGTCGTGATGTAGAACGAACGCGCCTGCGCAGCCAGAGTGCAGAGCAAAACAAAACTCCACTCAGTTCACCCGTGAACGCGCGTCGATCGTTGCCGGAAGTCAGATATTTTAATCTATAAAGTTTTAAATAATGCTTCACATTATATCCACTGAAGGGTCTAAGACATTTTCTAAAATAACTGAAAATGTGTTCGTCTAAAACAAGATTGACATATGCATCTCGAACGGCTTGAGGGTGAGTAATGCATGTGTTAAATATCATTTTTGGCCGAACTATCCCTTTAATCCATAAAAGCGCCTTCGGGATGTGCTGGAACGGGAGATTCGCAGCATGGAATTGCAACTTACAAATCTGAAGCAACTGTGTGATTCTATCATGACAATATGGACCAGAAACTCTCAGGAATGTTTCCTGCACCTTGTTGAATCTATGCGACAAAGAAATAAGGCAGTTCTGAACGCAAAAGTGGGTCTAACTCGGTGCTAGCAAAGTGTATCTTATAAAATACCCAGTGAGCATTGTGTCTAAGTATTTACAGTCTCTGTTGTGCAGACTGTTTTAATTTTAGTTTTACTTTCAAATATTACTAAGCATTAAGTTGTCCTCTAGCATATTAAACAAAATGCACCTAGTGTGTCTTCTAGCAATTGTTGAAATGCTATTGATAAAGGAGGTGCTTGAAATTTAACCATTTGAAATGTACATAGAACAATGGCTAATATGAAGTAGAGTTGTACAGACTTTAATTTTAGGACAGTTTTACTTCCAAACATGTAATGGGTACCTTTGGGAATCACTCCTTACGGAGGCGTATTGCATTCACTTGAGGAAAAAAATCGACCCTGTTTTTCTGAATTAATGAGATAATTTTTCATGGAATTTATTTTTTTTTTTTCTCTGTTTTTCTGAATTAACGAGTTAATTATCTCAGAATTACGAGATAATTTTTCATGAAAAAAAAGTTTTTGCTCTGTTTTTCTGAATTAACGAGTTAATTATCTCAGAATTATGAGATACATTTTTCTTGAAAAAAAATATTTCACTCTGTTTTTCTGAATTAATGAGTTACTCATAATTTTGAGATAATTAAGTCATTAATTCAGAAAAACAGAGCAAAAACTTTTTTTCCATGAAAAATTCTCATTAATTCAGAAAAACAGAGAAAAAAAAATGTTTCTGTGAAAAAATATCTCGTAATTCTGAGATAATTAACTCGTTAATTCAGAAAAACAGAGCAAAAACTTTTTTTCCATGAAAAATTCTCTCGTTAATTCAGAAAAACAGAGTCGATTTTTTTTCCTCAAGTGAATGCAATATGCTTCCGTATAGACCTGATAGTGGAAATCTTTTTTTTTTTTTTTGCTAGCAGGTTGACGACCCGGTTGAACCAGTTCACAAAGTTAACATGCTTGCAATTTGATTTACACCTTTACGATTCTTTATGAGGGTGACATCCAATTTTACACAGTCTATATTCCTCTGACCTAGATTTCATCTGAACCTTTTTAAAAGTGTACGACTGATATACAGCATAGACTTGTCTTTTGCTAACCAGGAAAAAAAGCAACCTCCGACATTTGATCTAGTCAAACAATCTCCAGATTATATAATACAACAGAGAATGTAGAACATATAGTAATTTAAAAAATGCATAACTTTTAGTATGTGGGAAGCATTCATGGAAATAAAAAGATAACAAATGATATCTTTAATATCTATCGTTAATGGTGGGAAGTATTGAAACATCAATACTATCAATACATGAATACATTTCAGAGACGTTTGTGATTATACTAACAAAAAATAATTTAAGATGACTTCTGGTATGCTCATTGTTGAGAGACATCAGTGCAATGGTAGCAATAAGAAAAATGGTTGAAAATGTTACCTGATCCTCCCCAAAATGTGGATTTTAGTTCTGCAGGTCGAGGTAATGTGGTTTATATATGATCTATCTTTTTAAAATAAAACAACTAACATCAATGTTGAAGGTTTCTCCTCTACTTTTGATTTTCTTCAGGCTCAATTTAGAGTTGAAACTGCAGGAACTGTAAGTTATGGAAACATGAGAAACAGGTTGAACCTGAATTTGAAGGCAGTCCAAATATGTGACCTGTGGTGAGGGTTGCGTCACGTGGTTCAGCGTGGCGAGCGGTGGGTGGGTACCCAGTCAACACCTGAGATCATACGATGTATGATCTCAGACTTCCAGAAAACGGACTTCCAGATAACAAGAGCAGTTCAAGAGCCCAACTAAAGCAAACACTGATCTACATTATGATAACATCAAATGAAACAATAAACCATCCACCTCTGAACCTTTGTTAATTCTCAATAAGAACTTATTTAGACGTGTGACAGAAATAAAGTCAGTCTGGCTAGTAATAAGTGAAGCTGGTAATGCTGTTTGTGGAGTTGTTTAATCCTCCTTTACTGAGATCTGCTGAGATCTTCAGAGATTTACTGTCTTCTTTTATCTTCAATGGATTTCATCTAAGCCTGGAAGTCTTGTGTTTCTGCTCGTCCCTTCTCTTTTTTTCAGTCTAAACATGTTACTTAGTTTAAGTTTTGGAAACATGAGAGAACGGTGTCGTCTTATCGGCCCCTAATTTAATAACAAATGATCATTTCGACTTAATTGAATACATCAAAACTAACTTTAGCT